CGAATGTAGACTGAGAGACACAACGACTTAGGCATTATATTATTCCAACAAGGTCGTAATTTCACGTAATGTAAGTGGGTCAGGTCAAGAAATAATAAGTTCTAACCTAGTTTTCAGGACACAAAATTTCCCTCAGAATGGCCGAATCATGTAGGTACAATGTACTTAATTAATGTTTACGACAAAAAAGATTGATTACGAGTACATAATACGTTGCTCACTTCTGATAAGACTTGGCAGTTTACAGTTCACTCTATTTTTTGTTTATTTTTAATACGGTGGTGACTGAGTTTTCTATCAATAGGTAAGTATGCTAGAGCCTTATTTATGGTAATAACCAAAACTTTTGTATTGAAGCACTAGGCTGCTAAGGCAAAAACATTAAACTTTTGCTATACTTACCTATTTGGTTTTAACGAATAACAATACGAGAAGAAAGTAGTTTAAATAAATGAAATCTTTATTAGTTAATTAAATGACGGTTACAAAAAGAAAATTATCCGTTTCTCGATTGAAGATCAGAATAATTGTCAGTGTATTGAAGTAATTGCAGTCAATTAGCAATGTGTCAATGTCAATTAAATGTAGTCCGCAGTAGCGTCATTAATTATGTATTATTGAAAAACACCTGCTCACTAGAATATTAGACGGCCAAACTACTGTGTAGGTATTTTTTGTAAACATTCTTTGTTATTGATCAATGAATTATTGAATGATGTTCAATTTAAGATGTTCAGTTTTTTAATATTTTATTTCATTTTCGTTGATTACGCTTTAAAAATTTCCAATTATATCCGACTTTTACGGCGAGAATAAGAAAGAGGACCAGGACAAAAAACTTGCAGTTCATTGGCTTGGAAGTTTCGTCGTAACGAGTCTCGCATCGAATCAAGCTCTTTTCTTTTGCCACTTTTACAATGCGTGTACCAAGGAGTGGATTGTTGCCAGAAACTGCACTTCGGAATTCACACAACTCCAATAACTTCAAATCGCATTTTTTCCATCCTCAGAAGTCGATCCATCTCTGATTAATTTAATTGCGGGTCCAATGAGAGTTTAATTTCCCCCGGGACAAACTTGACTTTCATTGGTTCGGTTTTATAGGCAGTCAAGCTGTAGATCCTGGATATAGAGGAGTTGCAGCAGTGGGAGGGAGAGCTGGGAACAGCCATCATTAGAACCTAAAACACAAAGTACTGACATTACTTCAAATGTGGGAGAGTTCACTTCGTCATAAATCTCATCTGCACTCCTGGAGAAATAATCGTGATCGAATCAAGCGTAAAAAATCGCTCGCCGAGCAAATATCCTGCTGCTCGAAGAAAGAACACTCGTTTTCAGACTTCGTTGAATTAGTTCAGGTTGTTGTGAGGCCACGAAACAAGTTGGAAATGAAAAATACCAAAAATTTACAAAATAAAATGATTACTGAATCGAATGATCGAAAAAGGGCAATGTAGAGCTAGTTCTTAACTCTTTAGTCGTGAGACTTTTTATGGAGTCCATATTATTTACACTTATCGATGAGAAGGATTTATTCTGAATATAACGAGAACATATTATTATGATAATCCTGTATGGATCAATAATGGAATGAGCGAAATAAACTACAAACTCTACCATGAATCTACCATTAGGGGAGACCGAGGGCATTTGAAACAAAGGTGATTTGAAACAGTACAGATTTCTCTGTACTCAAAACCGTTAGCGAGCTGGCAACGGTCCTTTACACCTACTTCCCGCCTCCCGCGGCCATGTCAGTTCGTGTCCATCATGTAAGTCCCGCGGTTGTGGAGTTTAGTGTGCCATGTGACAAAAATCGTGAAAAGTAAGTTTTCAACGAATTTTTGCGATGCCTTTATTTTGTTATATGTTTTGTATTTTGGTTTAAGTTATATATGTTTCGAAAGCTCATTAACTAAAGATTTGTTATATATATTTAGTACCATTGGTTTCTGTGTATTTGCTTCTAGATCATAGATTTAATAAAAAATGGGAGGTTTTTTCTTACTGAGGAGATTTGAAACAGGGTGTTTCAACTCTCCTAGTTTTCAATATTTTTTTTTTGTTGGTTTAATTTGGGCATATTTGGTTATAAAGAAACAAAGAAAAAATGAAGACAGTGAAGAAGAAGAGGAAACTTTATGCCTTTGTTGTTTTGAGCCATATTCTAATAGCAGAGCCAAAGAAAAGTGGGTGCAATGTCTGGAGTGCAAAAACTGGGCTCATGAATCTTGCACTGGTGAGGAATTTTCTTATGTTTGCCACAACTGCTTGTCAGACTGATATTTTTATTTCCATAATTATTTTGATTTTAGTAATTTGTGAGATAGTTGTATTGTAACTTAAATATTCAAAGAAATACGGATTAATCGAGACTGATTGTAATAGTTAAGAAACGACTGATATTTTATGTTAAAGACTTAGAATATAATTATATTATCATAAAGGAATGTAAAACATTTTGTTTATCGTTATTTCGATTAAAGTTACACATAGGTCGTTGTGATAGGTACTTTAAACTACTTTAGGAGTTGATTATTCGTAAGCTTGTTGTTACCTACTTAACTGAAAATTATATCAGTAAAAAATGTTGATAAAAAAGTTGTTTTCTTACTTGAAAAGTTTTATTTCAATAAAAACCTTTATATGATATCTTCACTTTCATTAAAATATCCCACAATACTTCTTAAAAATATATGTTTCAACTCTCCTCGACCCCTGTTTCATCTTACCTCGGTGTGAGGGGAGTTGAAACAAATTGACTTGTTACGGAGAAGTCGATTTTTCACCGCAATATTTATCGTTTACAATTTCTCTATGTTAATTATTCGCAAGTGTATAGAATTACCTATCGATTGGTACTAATATCATATGAATTCTGCCTACAGCGTTTTGTGTATGAAACAAATTGTCAAAATTGTTTCAAATGCCCTCGGTCTCCCCTAAATAACAAACTGTTAAAAGCCAATTCGCTTTGTCTAGTAACTGCGTTATCAAGTATAATTCATACAAATTCAAGTTAATTTTAATTGTTTTCGTGTAATCGTCCACCTCATAGCCCGCTTAAATCGATATTTGTTCTCAGAATCAATTTCCACGGAGGTTTAATGACCTGTCACAGCAAAAAGTTTGGCAGTACCCGGTCACCGACCGCGCAACTCCACATAACCAAATTGCAATTTGAGTGTTGATTGCCTGCTTAGTTACATTACAGGTAGGTAATTGACGGTCAAAATTAAAAACAATGAAGTTTAGTAGAAAATACTGGCTGGTGATAATTTGTACATCGCTTTTGAAAATGCTGGTGGGTAAATTAAACAAGAAAATTAGACTAGTTTCGCGATGGCAAGCATTTTATTGTAATTTCAAATTCATTAGCGATAAAAAAACAATGGCCAGTAATTTTAACGCATAATTCCCGCAGCTAGTCGTCACGTTATAATAAGTTTTCATATTTTTTGTTAGAATCTATAAAAAATATTGAGACATTGCAAGTTAAATTCGAATTAATTAGCCTAGGTACATTTGGACTCAGTTAAATTACTAATGGTGGTGATTTATTGGTTACCTAGTCCGAATTCACTATTAAGTAAAACTAACTTGCTGCGACTCTCCCTCTGTATATTGTCATTATGATACAGAAATTAATGATTCTTGTCCATTCTATTGATACTTTTAAATACATTATGTGTCATTGAAATCGATTTAATGGCAAAAAGATTCCCATCAATACCTTGAAATATTCCCATAGCAAAACTACTTAGGGTAGCGTTAAAATTTCTAATAAATTGCACATGAAATGGTTTTGTAAACAGGTTCAGTATTATTATTAGCAATGGCATTGTACAGCGACTAACAAAACATTGATTATTATGTTCTATTAAATAAACCTTGTAAACAAAGACTTTAATTAGAATCGTAGCAAGATGTTTATAGAAACAAATCTTGTGGCTGTTAACAATTGTGTTACTGTCCAACAAACTTGGTAATAGAAATGATGTAATTGTATGGAATACTTTGGGGCTTAAGATAGTACCCTCGAGGACGCCTGTAAAATCTAAATTTGTATCATCTTAAGCCTGAGATCAAGTTCAGCACGTTGAATATTATCTCTACCACTGTTTATCTCGGGTAAAACCATTATAAGTGCTAAGACTAGTCACATGCCCGGTGTAAATGTAACCTCTCGCCGCTTATCTTGAAGAGTTTGACAGTGGAAAGATTGGGCAACAAATACGAATGATTGTAAATTGAGTTTACTCATGAAAATTTTGAGTCATTTTTACTGATACAATCTCTTATGGTGACTCAGGAAAGACAGTACAGCTGACCACTTCTAAACTAAAGGAAGAATCATTCTCAGTTGTCGGATAAAATAATAAAGGGAATCGCTCTCGCATGTTGTAACGCCGAACAAATATCCAATCATTCGATGAAAATCATTTCTGAACACAATAACATTTGAAATAGCTAGCAATTACCATGCTCGTACGCATGCTCGGTGCCCAGTCATTCTCATAACATCTTTCTAAATTGCTTATTTTCAGCGCGAATATCATGATTCATTGTTGGAACAAGTGTTCTGTCTTCGTTGAGTTTCTTTTAATATGTTTTTTCTACATGAATAGTTTAATTTTAAATATTAATTCAACTAGATTGCAATTACAAAACCTCAACTCCTATTGTTCTGCGTCTAATCAGAATGTAGCCTTTGGCGAGTTTCGTCATGCGGTCCCCGTGAAAGTATTGTTCGAGAAAAATAAAAAAGCGTCCCCAAACCGGATACTTATTTAACGAAGCAAGTGGCGAGCCGTGGGATTCGAAATGCACCTGGAGCGTTGACAAAAAAGAGGTGTTGCGCGTGAGGTCGCCCCGCGAAATCAGCGGAGGACGCGGCTGAGGCTGCGCCTGCGCTGCCCGTGTGCCGCGGCTGCCCGCGCCGCGAGCGAGAGGCACGATCGAGCCTGCGCCTGCGCGACTCATTCTCGATTTCTCGCCCGCACTCCCGCAGTGCCGCGCCAACCGCTGACAATATCACCCGCTCTGTCACCGCTTTGTCTCGAAGTTTTAACGTAATAAAAACCTTGTCGAAGTCCGTGTGATTTGATAAACCCATAAACAGATTGCCAACGAACATAATCGAATAACGAATTAAATGGTGTTGTGAACAAGTGCATCGATTGTTGAGAACAGCCACCTATCTAACGACGCGTGGCGGAACATAAAAACAAACTCTCGTCTCGTGTTCCGATGGTCCCCGGCAATAATTAGTTTGGCAAAAGTGAGTGTGTGTGCTGTGGACGCTTGATGTTCAACTGGAACTAGTTCGATAGGCTTTGCATGTGCTGACGGCCCGTGGGCATCCCGAGTCACGGATGTTGAAGTTGGTTAGTGTTTGTTTTTGTTTGCTTGCACTGGACTACTAAACTTTCATTCCATCACTTGTTTTGTAACTGTTTTACTGTCATCTTCGTCGATACTTCTTTCCACAGCTATACTCGCGTGGGGCCGTTGATTCTCGGCCTCACCACCTGCGTTATTGTTGGGCCCAGCATGTGAATGGTGTGTTATGTATTTGTTATCGCGATGTCTGTGTGCGCCTGTAATCAAGTCGATAAATTGTCGATAGTGGTTACGATACTCTGATAATTATTGAGGGATTTATGTAGATAAGGTGTAACTACTACTCGAATGAAATTTGATGCGAAGGGAAATTGGGAATTACTATTTATTGGATTAAATTGATAGCAATACCGCAAATGATTCTGAATGAGAAAGACAAAACAAGTTTTAAGCAAAGATCATAAAGATGCCTGTGGTTATCCTCATGATTCATTCAAATAACGTGTCTGATATCATGTGGAATCTATTGATGGATGGAAATTGTTACAATTCAAAGACACAGCTAAAACCTAAATTCTTGAAGTAGTTAATCCTTTTTTTAATTATTTAGTCTTCGTAATAGGCCTAATTATAATTTACCTTATTGTCTACCTTAAATCATTATTTTTACCTTAAAAATCTATTCATACTTTTTTTGTTTTAACCATTTTCTTCTGTAACATGTAACATGCTTTATTGCTCTTCGGTTTTTGTGACAATATGTAATAACTTTTCGTTTTTACGATATCATTGACGATTTTATTTTTGTCTTCTTACAGCACAAGTAGGTGATGATGATGATGATGATGATGATGATGATAAGTAGAATATAAACATGTAAAACTTCGAACTTACCAGCTAGCTAACTTTTTGGAGTTAATGAATTGATATTAACAAAAATAATAGCTTTTATATCAATGTTAATAATAATTTTTAAACATCTGTGGTTAAAATAAACTTAGATCCAGAAAATCATTACTCGATAATAGAGTACCTAGGTATATGGTAAAATATTGGAAATCAATAACACTGCACAACAGCATTTTTGATGATTGGGTTATGTTACATGATATTAGTCCAATTTTTAATGACGATTTCAAATCTGTGATTGAAATGTCTGTATCAGCTCTGGTTAAAAAAATATGACACTTGGGTCTTTTTGTAAAAAAAAACACTTTTTTAGATATGATCCTATTTTATGAAGTTGTTAAGTTAAAAAAACTTTCTTTTATTTGACTTCCTTGCTGATGCTGAAGGCAGACAGCTCTTTTGAATTATTCAACAGCAGTCAGCTATCATGTGTGCATTCCAGTGGCCCTGATAGCGTCCCTCTATCGTACGAAGGCCCTGGTGGATTTGCTCGCCATGTTCTTCACTTAGATCCTTAAGAGTTGTGATAAAATTGTTCAGGTGATTGCGAAGAGAGTGTATTTCGATGTTTATATTACATCCAACCAAAAAAACATGCTTGTAAGTGACTCATACGTTGTTCGATGTGTAAGAATAGTAAGANGATAAATTGTCGATAGTGGTTACGATACTCTGATAATTATTGAGGGATTTATGTAGATAAGGTGTAACTACTACTCGAATGAAATTTGATGCGAAGGGAAATTGGGAATTACTATTTATTGGATTAAATTGATAGCAATACCGCAAATGATTCTGAATGAGAAAGACAAAACAAGTTTTAAGCAAAGATCATAAAGATGCCTGTGGTTATCCTCATGATTCATTCAAATAACGTTCTGTCTGATCATGATGGAAATAATATCATGTGGAATCTATTGATGGATGGAAATTGTTACAATTCAAAGACACAGCTAAAACCTAAATTCTTGAAGTAGTTAATCCTTTTTTTAATTATTTAGTCTTCGTAATAGGCCTAATTATAATTTACCTTATTGTCTACCTTAAATCATTATTTTTACCTTAAAAATCTATTCATACTTTTTTTGTTTTAACCATTTTCTTCTAAGTAACATGTAACATGCTTTATTGCTCTTCGGTTTTTGTGACAATATGTAATAACTTTTCGTTTTTACGATATCATTGACGATTTTATTTTTGTCTTCTTACAGCACAAGTATAAGTAGAATATAAACATGTAAAACTTCGAACTTACCAGCTAGCTAACTTTTTGGAGTTAATGAATTGATATTAACAAAAATAATAGCTTTTATATCAATGTTAATAGTAATTTTTAAACATCCGTGGTTAAAATAAACTTAGATCCAGAAAATCATTACTCGATAATAGAGTACCTAGGTATATGGTAAAATATTGGAAATCAATAATTGTACAAAAACGAAAGATTACACAGAGTTTCTAGGTAAGCATAAAGATTTTAAATTGTTAGAGAGCAAACTTTTTAAAACTTCCAAGTTCACCACTTCGCAGCCAGTAAGATTTAAAAAAGTAAAATTTTGAAATATCGACGTATTCTGTTTTTAAAAAGGCCAACGATGTTGTTATTAACTTTTTTAATGAACTATTAACTCAAAGGGCGTACACTGGACTGACTATCCTCCATACGATAATTTGCCCAGTAAACTTGAACTTTGCATGAAAATTGTTACCCGTTATTAAATTGGATTTACTACCTGTTTCTTGATTACTTATTTCCTCTGACATTTATCTTGTGTTTATTATCTTCTCTTTGAAGTAACATTTAAATCGTGAAACTTCTAAACTAATTTTAATTAAGTTGATTGAAATGTGACGTTTCGTTTCAATACACAATTAAAAAAATATGCAATAAATATAAAATAAAATATTATGTCAAAATGTAAACCTCATTCTTCGAGTAAAACTTAAGTAATTATAAACTATAACATGAAAAAGAACAAATGCTTCAATAGCAATAAATATTTTTAAAACACGATTTCTAAATTGTTGCTATAGTAAAAGTTGTTCTACATCAATAATTGTGCAGCAAGTTATGTACTTTCAATTAATCCAAACATCTTTATTCGTTAAATATAAAACATTGCAGTATTTATTGCATTTATGTGGTTATCGCTCCGTTCTACTTATTTAGTTACTCAAAAGCGTACATTCGAGTCGTTTCCCAGTAATGCACTGCATTGCAAAATGCATGCAAAGACATTTCAACGCAATAAAAACTGTTTATCTTAATGCCTTGAAAAACCTATAATTATTTTATGTTTCCCGCTCTGATAATTAGTACGCTGAGTAGGTATTATGTTTTCTTTTGATAAGTGAAACACTCCGATGTAGTTCTTTCTTTCACCAAACAAAGGAGGTTAGTCTTCAGTTAAAGATTGAAATAAAGACGCACAAGATTAACTAATCCCAATCTCTGTTTGGGACTTTAGGCACAGAATATGCTTTGGGTGGATTTGTCTTCTGCGTATGGGTATTGTGCCAGCATGTAAGAAAAATTCAACAACCCATAGTAAAGAAATCTTATGTGAGTGCTACCTGTGTTTCTGATTGTACCCATCTCTTTGATCCGCTCTTCCATTAATTTTATAGCATAATTGAGATTATTAAGTTCGTAGTAATGAGATCGCAATTTCGCTAAGCCGGACCACTTAAAGCTATCATAATATGAGCATTACCTGATAATGCTGCAGACGTCATCGTTGTAGATTAACAATAGCACTTACATGGTTTGGCTTTTAGACACAGAATGCAATTCAGATTTTCTAAAATTTATAGCCTGAAATACAGGCTATAATATGTCAATTAGCCAATGCCTAAACTAATAAAAAGTTATAAACTACCAGCATATTGTTTGTGAAGTAGAAGTAGTAGAAGTGTTTTGGCAGGCATTTGTTTTGCGTCAACTATTTTTCAACGTAACGGAGTAATTATAAATATACGATGAACATATTTTTGAATCCATGGGAATATTTGACCCTTACAAAGTATTGTGTATTTCTCCAATAGGGGTTGCGACTTCTCCAGTGTCAATAAATTCAATTTTATTTGTCCCTTTTATTTGACAGTGTCCTTTGGGTAATCTGGAATTTATGTTCGATCGTTCGTAAGGTACGAACCTTCTTTGGTGAAGGTAATTTTATTTTACTGACTTTTTAAAATATTCTTGCTGTTTTTGAGTCTTTATTACTAAAATAAGTCGACAATGTTAAGTTTTTAAGTTTGGTTGAATTAAATTCCGATATTTTTGAGATTCCAGATATAAATTCTGAGTTGAAGAGATTAAAAAAATAATAGATCTTACATTGGACATAGACTCATATCTAGACAGGCTAGAACATAATTTTCCTGTGACATTCTGGACTAAAGGAAAAAAGGTTGCTTATATGGTGACATTCATGTATGGTTGTCACCACCAGTTGCAAGCAACAACAAGCAACTTGGGTTTTGGAAACCACGATTAATCTAATGTCGATGTAAACCAATAAAGTAAAGCAAGTTGCCAAGTAAGTTTCCTTGAAAACACGCAATTGTGAATTCGCTCGCGTTCTGTCCTAATCTCATAGAAAGCAAGCGATCACTTTCGTACGCGGTGCGCGAGGATTGTGCCACTTACCTATTTCTAGTGTTGTATTTTTGCGTCGCGTGTGCCGCCAGCTGCTTAATGAACGTGCTAGTGATGTGCCCAAATAATTATTTTTCGGACGAAATCCTTTTTTGCCAAAGAGCCATGTCTTATCAACTCCAAAAAGTGAGGTTGGAGGACTAATAAATGGTTTTATTACTGATTTCAACATACGGTATCATTTTTTAATTGGCCGTTGACCAAAGTGTCATTCAAGATACAAAAGCACCTGGCATAATATAGAACCTTTTTAGTACAGAGGTCATAGTTTCTATGAATATTGTAGAGACATGGTTTTTTCGTATATTTTATTAAAATTAAAATTTATAAAAGTAAAAACTAGTAAGTAATGTTTTTATGTACCTACCTATATCTATTCATAACATCAGTCGCTTATCTGACTTCAAAACCGACCAGCTGTAATTTTATCATTGGTCTTAATAATTTATCAATTGCATATCAATACCTCCGCGA